AAAATTAATGGCAATGTAAAAATAATAGCATTCCGTGGTTTTGGATTCTTTTGGTAAGTCGTGTCTGCCAGCTTTTACTTGGTTGAGTGGCTAAAAGGTATAAATTTTGTAGAATTAAGAGAGAAAAAAGAAATAGTATAAACCCAAAATCAGTTCTGGTTTGTGGGAAGTAACCAGTTTGGAGAGAGATGATGAAGAATCGGAGAAAAGGTTTCGTTTTGGTGTTGTTCACACTCTGCATTTTGGGGTTTAAGCCCCGACGCGCAAATGCTGCAACAGATCAAGGAGATGGTTGGTGTTACTTTGCTTCTTTTTTTCGCCTTATTTGTGATCTTTGGTGTTGCTTTCTGGTTGGGTTTCATTTGTTGTCGACTTTGAGCTGCTTGTGGCTTGAAATGATCTTCCTTGATTACATTGCCTTTTTCTTAAAAATACTTTCAGTGTTGTTTATTGTTTATAAAGTATTCACCTTTGCTTTTCAAAGGTGGGTTTTTGTAGATTATGGACATAAGATTTTATGCTAAGGGTAAATTTATAAAATTTTAGGAAGTAAAATAAATTATCAATAGAAATATAAAAAGAATATTTAAAATACACTAGAATTTGAAATTTTTAAGAGACTATTGATATGTATTCATGGACAAATTCATAACTTTCTGGCACTTCTGTGTTTTGCTGCTGACTGGAAAAAGGTTAAATCTTTCCCCACAATACCATTTATTTTCTCTGGCTGCAATTCTTAAGCCTTTTCTCTGTTCTGGAAAGAAATATATGTTCCCTTGAAACTGAGATCTAGTATAAGATTTCCCGGTGGGGTAACTGTATTTTTGGCTAAATTTCTGACCTTAATAACTAGGTCACTAATGACTTGAAGGAGTGGTAAACATCTTCTATAATAGGAAGATAAATTTGTTAAACATACTTTGTGTGCATGGAAGAACACCAGTACTTCGAGTGATTTCAATGAACCGGTTTCGATGAATGTTTAGAATAGAGAAGTGGATGAATTTAAAACTTGTGATTAAAACATTTCTCCTTGGCTTACTCATCTTGCTTGTGGGATGTTGGATGTGCATCTTCTGCCTTAGGGGTAATGTTCAACAGTTTAAATTCACCTCCACAGCTAACCGGTTGGACTGCAAACAATGGCGATCATTGTGGGCAGTCGTGGAAAGGTGTTACTTGCTTGGACCAATGTGTCACCGAAATGTACTTTCTTTGTTTCGATTTTCCTTCTATATGTCTTGTCCTCAATCAGCTGATGCTAACTATAGTACATTCTTGTATTTGGCCTTTTTCTTCAGTAAACTGTCGAGTCTCGGACTTTCCGGATCAATGGGTTACAGCCTTCAAAGTTTGACATCATTAAAGAAACTGTAGGAAATCTAGTCTCCAAGAGTGGATTGATTTTCTTTCCTTACATTTATCTGGTTATCTTTATGCTGATATTTGAACAAATCTGCAGGGACTTGAGCAATAACAATCTTGCAGGCAATATACCGTATAACATTCCTCTGAACTTGCAGCGATTGTATGTTACTAAACGTGCATTTGTTTCCTTTCCTATGTCTACAGTTTCTTTTCTTTAAGGATTTTGTATAACACAATGTTAATTTGTCTGCAGAAATCATGCATTTAATCGTTTTACTGGAAGTATCCCTTATTCCATCAATCAGATGCATTATCTTCAATACCTGTAAGTAATGTTTCAAATTTTCACACGAGGTCTGTAGACATTTTGACTCCTGCACTCTTTTTTCTTTTCCATTTCTGGTAACACAGAAATCTTGGACATAACCAGTTGCAGAACGAATTGAGTGACATGTTTGGACCACTTTCTTCCCTCTCCACATTGTAAGACGTTCTTACCACCACCATTGAGATTATGTTGTTTTCAATAAATGCCTGTTATGTTTATTCATTGCTTCAGGGATCTTTCTTTCAATTCTCTAACTGGTGATCTCCCCGCAAGTTTTAAGAATCTTACCAGTATGAACTCTATGTAAGTATTAATAGGAAATATGTTGTGGAACAAATGTATATGGTGGATCTCCATAAATATATTGTTTTCCCTTGTGCAGGTACTTGCAGAGCAACCAGTTTACGGGCACTATCAATGTCCTTTCCAATCTTCCCCTTGACACTCTCTGTATCCTGTATATTGTGCTTCGTCTCCATATGGTAAATGTCCCTGAAATATTGACCTTTGTGATAGTTGTTTCTATGTCTCACAGGTATATCTCCAATAACCATTTTTCCGGCTGGATACCGGATCAATTGAAAAGCATCGATTTGTAGGGGTAATATCCAGGAGGTCATCCTCAGATATTGAAAGGCTTGATGATCAACCCTTTGCTCCTCTTCCTTCTAATGAAGTGCAAGGTAACACGCACAATAGATCTGCAACTCTGCACGGTGGCCGTTGAATGTCACCATAATTCTATCTTTACGGTTTGCTCTCTTGATCAAACAATTCCCCCCCCCCCTCATGCTTAACATTGTATTGCAGCAATGAGCTACATACAGCCTTCCTCTTCAGTTGAGACCGAAATCTTTGATACAGCTGCTTCAGTAAACCTTCGTCCCCCACCCGTTGACCATCACAAATCATTAGATGAAGAAGATTTTTCTAAAAAGCCCATTGTTGTTAAGAAAGCTGTTCCAGTGCCTAAAAATGTTGCATCATATTCAATAGCAGACCTCCAGATGGCTACAGGCAGTTTCGGCATTGAAAATCTTCTTGGTGAAGGATCTTTTGGCCGTGTTTATCGAGCTCAATTTGATGACGGCAAGGTATGAATCTCCATATTTTTTCTCTAATAGTTTGTCATTTACTTGCCTCAAGTATTTTTAAGAATTTTCTACTCAGTACTCACCTGGCTGGTACCTTGTGTTCATATTGCCATAGGTTCTTGCTGTGAAGAAAATAGATTCATCAGCTTTTCCCGGTGAAATGACCGACAATTTTATAGAGATGGTTTTGAACATCTCCAAGTTGCATCACACAAATGTCACAGAGCTGGTTGGCTATTGTTCAGAGCATGGACAGCACCTACTTGTCTATGAGTTTCACAAAAATGGCTCACTTCATGACTTTATGCATCTATCAAATGAGTACAGCAAGCCTTTGATTTGGAACTCCCGTGTCAAAATCGCTCTGGGGACTGCACGCACATTAGAGTAAGTCGATAATTTGATTATGGGCAGCAATAGCTATTATTCCGTCTCATTTTTATATGATCGCTGCAAACGGAAGGATCTGCAGTTCATCTCATTTCTATCCTTTCCCCCCTTATAAACAGCTAAAGTTGACTCCCCCTAAGTCCATAAATTCATAATGGGCAACAATGGCTGCATGTATTTTTTCCAGGTACTTGCATGAAGGTTGCTCGCCGTCTGTTGTTCATAAAAACATCAAGTCGACAAACATCTTACTTGATGTTGAGCTCAATCTTCACCTCTCAGACTAAAGCTTTGCAACCATGTTACTATGTCTGGATACAGTGCACCCGAAGTGAAAATGTCTGGTCTGTACTCTCTTAAGAGTGACGTTTACAGTTTCGGAGTGGTTATGTTGGAACTTCTCACCGGACGGAAACCATTTGATAGGTAAGGAATCATCCATGAAGCATTTGGTACTCCGTCGTTGGATGTGCTAGCATCTCACTTAGTTCACCACATTTCTAATTAGTATGCAAGTGTTTTAACAGCACAAGGCCAAGACTGGAGCAATCTTTGGTTCGATGGGAAACACCTCAGCTGCATGATATCGATGCTCTATCGAAGATGGTTGACCCTGCACTTAAAGAGCTTTACCAGGTTAAATCTCTCTCTCGTTTTGCAGATGTGATCGCCCTTTGTGTCCAGGTAATGTCATCCTTTTTCTTGTTTCATCTACATTACATATTCGATGAATTGGATAAGCCCCAGCATTTGTGTGGATGAATGAACTTACTCTTAGGATCCGGATTCTAAACCATATGGAAAGAGAAAATAACTCATAGAATGCTTCATTGCTGTAGCATTTAACAGATCTTTTGTAATTGTTTCTCTGGAACAGCCGGAGCTAGGGATGGCAGTATGACCCGAACCCGACGGGGAAACCCGAAACCCGGTCAAGTTCGGGTCGGGTCGGGTTCGGGGATTTTTTCCGAGGATTTTTTCGGGTCGGGTTCAGGTTCGGGGCAAGGTATCCCCGACCCGCCACGATTATATATATATATATATATATATAATATTTTATATTTTTTATATTATAATTATATATAAAATATTTTCGGGTTCGGGGACGGGGACGGGGCAAAAAAAATCCCCGACGGGGCGCCCCGATAAAAAACCCGTCGGAGATCGGGTCGGGGATTCATTTCGGGTTCGGGGACGGGGCGAGCAAAACCCGCCCGAACCCGACCCGTTGCCATTCCTAGCCGGAGCCCGAGTTTTGACCTCCAATGTCAGAAGTGGTTCAAGCATTGGTTCCACCGACTAGTGCAACGAGCTAACATGAGTAAGAGAACAATAGGGTCAGATCAAGGTGCATCTCGTAGAACAGATAAAGCAGTCTATGATGAAACGCATGACTACACGTCTTCAATGGATATGAAGTACGCTGTTGACTGTTTTAGTGATGAGGACTCGAGATCATAACATGTAGAATGTTACTGTTTTATGGTAGCTAATAAAATATACCTCCCCCAACTTTAGCTTCGGTTTCAAATCAGCCCAACACTTTGTAATATGTTGCAATGTAGTCCACCCCGTAAGTTTAAATTCTTTCACCGTTGTGTACATGTTACTTTAATGTTCCCTTTACAATCATAACCGGAAACTGCAGATATCACTTAAAAAGAAAAATACCACAAATATTTCCTTTTCAGAGATATAATTGCATTCATTGGACAACATTATGTGACCACAAAGAGTATATAACAACAACAATGCCAACCGAATTAATACTCGAAACTACGTAATTATGCACACTATTTCTGAATCCACTACCTTTGTATTCAAAAGTAACACGCTAGATCCTTATTTATATCCTTCCTATCTTCGATCCCGAAAAAATAATCTGTAAAACATAAAGGCATTACGCTGTGTTCAACGGTAAGTGCATGTATGTATCTCTTCATCATATTGTTGTCACAGCCCCTATTGACAGGGGAAAAAATGTCAATTACACCAAATCTCTGCACTTCAAAACATCATTCTTGTTCAAACTAAAACTATTGCATATTTCTGAGATAGCTTGTTCACTAAGATAACCATCTTCATGTTCCCGGTTAATAAGGTCCTCCAACTCCTTCGATGGCTCAAACACCTGTTCCATTATATCGATAATGGAAAATATAACATTAAAGCGAAAATGATTACCATCAAGGCTATAAAGCTATGCATCACCAAGAAGAAATACATGCTAAACTGTTCAAGGATTGTTGAATGGTGTACGCAGACTTATGTATCAAATAAGACTGACAGCCAATAAAAGAATGTACTCTTGGCATTCTTTTGATATAAAAGAATGGTTGGTACCGAGAAATCTTTGTAAAGATGCAGCGCAGAACATGATAACTAAATTATTATTTAATTGTTTATAAACTTTACTTCGCTAAATTCCATTTAATAAAAAATATCATTATTAACACAAAAAATTGATGACAAGTAAAATGGAAAATCTAAACAGAACATACTCGGTGTCGGAGGTAATCGAGCTAACGGAAGTGCAAGAACAACGAAGCAAACATAAACAGTGTAACATCAAATAATCCTGTTATGTCCAGAGTTCAGATTAGCACATGAACTTACCCATTTGAAACTTGGTAAATTATTAGTTCCATGTTTCCAATCTTTATGCTCAGATTCATTCCCCTTCCCATTTTGTGTTTTGAGCTTGGGAGACTAGCTGAAGGAGCTTCTCACTTCACCGCAAAATCAAACATAGACAAACAATCGTGAGTGAATAGTGATACTTTTGAAAGTGGCTGGTTCAAAATTAGCGATCACGATCAACAATGACACTAAAAACTAAGGGATCCACATAATGAAACCCAAAATGCTCTATTGCTTAAAAACTACCTACTTTCTACCGACCATCTGATTCTTTCCCCCCATTCCGCAAGATGCAGAACAGGCCTTCTCCAGTTCCTCAAGCAAAACACAACATGCATGCAACCGAACATAAGAGAAGTGGAAAGCAAAAGATAAATGATGTTCATATCGCAGACATATGAAGAAGTGATGATAGAAAGCAGTGAGAAGGAAGCACATGCGAAAAGTAATCTTGAGATTATATTCATATTTGAAACAGAATGTTGTAACATATATGACTCAAGGTGGAAAGATGCAAAAGGATTTTGTATTCTTAACACAGTTAGGCAGGAATTTCTAAAATTAAATTTTACTATAAAGAAGCAGCTTTTACAATAGGCTATGCTAAACTGTTCATTTCAAATATTATCAGTGTAAACACATCCCTCTACGACACTCCCTTTTAAACCATGCAAAAGTATCTGACTCTTAAGAACATCGAATCCACCTGGAGTCCTCGCCAATGTGAATAAGTGAGAAACAAGGCCCAAAAGAATGGGATGTTAGGCAGAGGCAGAACCTGTGAGAAAAGAAGATCGAGTGAGAATGAGACAAAATATAAATGAAGAAAAATTCAAGTCACAAAAGAGGCTATACAGTAAATGATGGAATCAAAAAAAAAATAGATACTTACAGTAAATGCAGTGGTCAGTGGAAGCAATGAAACCGAACCATAAAAGTATTTTCTGTGTATAACAGTACCCCTGAAAATTTAAAAACACATTTTTACTAATGATATTGTTACTGCTGAAATTTGTACAAATATAAAAAAACATATAAATATAAAATTAAACACACAATACATTCCAAAACCTATCGATAGTTTGTTGGTGTTAAATGCCTTTAACGCCACAGTTACCAATAAACCAACTGCACACTGAGTCATAAACCCGTGTTAGAGATTCTCTGTCCTTTCACATCGAGCATAAGAGCATTCTCAATAACACAGCAATGATACCTCAGAAATGTCATAGACCAGGCTGTAGGACCAGTTAAACAATGAAGTATCCCTACATGTTGATGGTTAAACAATCTGTTTGGAAATGAGAAATAGCTTATGATCTCTAGCAATTAAGAAAGCAATAGAAAAGAGGTAAAACAATAACCTCAAGGCTATTTGCCGTAATCTTTGCTGCACAAGCCGTGCATTTAAACTGAAAAAAAAGATAGAAGTATCAGGAACAAACCATGAGTCTAAAAGCACCTCTACATGCAAATAACCAACATAATTCAAAATTCCATTTAGTGCATCAAGCTATATTCCTCACAAATTATGCAAAGTCCCATATACCAGACCAAAATATGGCACTGTTCATTTTTCCATAGAAGAAGCAGAAAATGTATATAGATTTCAACAAAGGACTAAATCATAGAAGGATGACTGGTTAGTATTGTTCATTTTTTAATATTGAGAAAGAAGAATACAAGAAAGCAAAAGATGCAGTAATATTTTTTTTGATAGAATAGGGAGACCTCATTAAAAAACCCCTTCGTACTCAACGAAATATGAAAGTTTTGTCGAGCATTGGAAGGAGGAAAAGAGTGTCTCATAAATTTTATTGAACCATTGAAAATTACAACTTAGATTACATCAGAAACATACAACCACAAAACCAAACAAAACAGAACCCCCCAACTATGCGTACATACAACCCCTCTCATCCAATGCCTTCTTTAGCCAACTTATCTGCCTCCCAATTTGCCCCTCTAGGAATATGCCTGATCATCACATCTTTATCCCTAATAAACTCTAAAATTCCATTCAACAACAAACACAACTGATTCGGACAACCCCCAAATTCTTAATCCAATTAACCACAACAAGACTATCACACTCAACAATAAGTCTTCCTTTTCCACCCCATTGGGAATCAAAGAAAAGATTCAAACCCTTAATAATGGCCAACATTTCAGCAGCTGTAGGAGGTCCTTTACCAACAGCCTCAGAGAATGAAGCCAACGTAGAACCCCTTGAATCTTTAATAATCCCTCCTATACCACCTTTCATCCGATCATCCGTGACAGCACCATCCACATTTAATTTGAAGAAACCTTCAGGAGGCGGAATCCACTGAACCCGATTGATCACCCTATTCCCCTGACTTCCACATCTATCCGCAACCGAAGGATCCCCCATAAGACAATCCCTTCTAATACATTACCATAATGCTATGAAAGCTAGAAAACAAAGTGATTAAAAAAAATATATATATATATATATATATATATATATATACTGGACTTAAATATAGATCCTAGAGAACATTTAAATATATATACTGGCAAGATTAAGAAGTACAAGTAAATTGCAGATACAGAACAGAAGATGCAGCAATGAAAAAGATAAGAATAGAACCTGGTGGGGTATGTAATCTGAACATTAGTAACGTCCTTGGTTATAGATTTCAACAAAATCTCAGATGGTTTAACTCGAGCTAAAAGCCGCAACCCCAGCCTAGGAAATACATTAAACCGAAACTAAAGCCAAGAATCAGCAGAAACTAAAGCCAAGAATCAGCAGAAACTAAAGCCAAATAATCCAACAGTTTAAACCAAACATATTCGACTGTCAAGTAATACCCATGTAGCTTGTTTTTGAAACTGCCCTCAGGCGCCTTTTCCAATCCCATCCAAGACTTATTCATCTATAACAAACAACCATCAGCAAACCGAAAACCGAGTAACATAGTATCCAAATACACATTGAAGTTACTGAAAGCATGAAATAAAAATTCAAAAAGTGGGGCGTTTAACGTTTATAACATAGAAATCAAGGATAATGGAACAAGAGGGCTTACCTTGTTGGAAACGAAATCGATAAGAAGCTCAGCATTGTCAATGAGGGGCTTGGGATTTGATGAAATCTTCTTGTAAATCCCTTTAACAGTGGAAGCTGTGTTAGCAGCGGAGAATTCTGATGGAGACGAATCAATGGATCTGCTAAAGCACCAGTTTTTCCCTTTAATTGGGAACACCACCAATCTAGCCCATATGATTATGATACTTTTCCTTTGTACTATTATCAAGTATGTATGCTCCACTATATATATATTTCTGTTAACGTAAGTGACATAACGATGAACCATTTCTGAAGCGTTGATAAAGACAACCTTACCTCGTCCGCCAATTTGTTTCCGAGTAAAAAACCACGTTAAGTCCTGCCTGTTAACATACCAAGTGTCCGGTGATTTAGAAAGATGATGACTTATCACGTGCATTTTTGCTATGCTCCCTAGAAAGCTCACTGCCTCTTTCAATTTAGCCATGTTTCTTCACGGTGATGTGGTCGTCCCTCATCTTTCAATTTAGTCATGTCTCTTCACAGTGATGTAGTCGTCCCTCGTCATAGGCGACGATTGCAACTGGTTAACCATACACACTGTGATAATCAGTTTTGCATAACAGTAATCGATTTGTTATAAATTAATACAATAGTCTCAATTATGAGTGGTCGATTTGTTATAAATGAAGAAAAAGAGCTAAGTAACTATTGTTAACATCGAATAATCAATTTGTTGTTAACTGATAACATTACTGACCAAATCGTTATAGTTTTAAAACATCAATGGAAAAAAGAAAAACTTACTCAAATAAGTAACTACTTATATACTACTTGTAACCCCCTCAGACCGATGCAGATAGCCCGATCTGATCTGGAGTGTCACATTATGGCCACCGGAGCGACCCATCGTAAAAATAGCGAAAAATTTAAAACTTTTTATTAGAACATGTAAACTAATAAAAATTATTTGTTACTATTTAAAAATAAAACAGATTTTCAGACTCGTATATAAAACAAAAATACAATTTACATGCCCCCTAATCATATGTACCATACTCTGCAAGCAACACCGGAAAACTCCCTTACTGATGTTGATAGTGATACTGGTACAATTCTTTTAACCTGCAATTATGAGTAATAGAGTGAGCTTCGAAAAGCTCAGTAATACAGAACTACCAGATGATGCTACATGACATGCAGATAAATGAGAAACCATAATTTCCTTATTGAATCATACGTATACCAGTGGGCGGAATAATTTGGGGTTCCCTTAGAAGTTCATCGAGTAGAAGCCATGAATCTCAGTCCATAAGAAACCTTTCATACTATCACTTTTTCATGAGGTTGAATACGATGCCTAGTGTGTTCCATCAGTACGATAAAACCATAGTAGGTACACTAATCAAATGCTAGTTCAGTAAAATCCCATAAACCATACTGTAGTGGAGCTTTTTAAACTCGTATTTTAAAACCATCTTACAAAGAGTTAACCTAAGAGAGCATCTTAGGGTCTGAAAGCCTACCCAAGATATATTTCGGGGTCGTGGGGGCTACCTAAGAACACATCTTAGGGCCGCAGGGCCTACCCGAGAATGATCTCAGGGCCGCAGAGCCTACCTAAGAGTCACATTACGTCCATAAAAATTTTCCAGCTTGATCAGAGTTGTACTTTACAAATCTGTATCTCCAATATACAGTTTATACAATGATACAAATCCATAAGCCATCACCGTTAAGTCGGTGCATCCATAAAATAGTAACCATAGATTTCAGTGTACCACATGTTAAAACAATAAAACAATTTTTCAAAATATAAGGAACACACTAGAGAATCCAAATATTTTTCAGATGCATTTTGTAGTTATCAATATGGATAACATGAACTTGTGCAAGTTGATCGGATTCCAGTAATAAAATCTTATTGAAGAGAATCGATTTCTAATCGATCTAATCAGACATTTCAGATTGATACTTTAGAATTCCACTAAGTTTCTATGTGTATCAGGAAAACGTTCAGGAACCTTTATACATAATAATTCTAAATTCAGATTTACTGCGAGTGATTCCATTACCCAAACAATCAGGGGTATTCAGGAATATACTTTGAATTCATAGGATTTCAGCCCAATTGAACCAAATGAGGTATTCCAAATCTTTTCCTTCTGTGTTACTTTCGTTTTCAAACATGACCGAAGTGATTTTAGATGAAAATATAGAATCGAAGATTCAAGTAATTTACAATCTATGAGTATCGACCATATTATCAAACAACTTGAGTTACACAACTCTCAAACTGATGGATCGGGAGGTATTTGGTCGAGCTTCCAATTTTTCTCTCATGTATCCTCAGCATCACATATACGAACTCGATTCCCAACATAATTTTCCTTGTCATAAAATTAACTTTAAATAATAATTTGAGGACCTAATTCATAAAACTAAAAGCTGATAGTGGTACTATAATATTTAATTACTAAAATCAGGGCAAAAATGAACTAATCTAAACTATCAAAGCTTGGCTATAACTATACTAAAACATGATGACAAAATCAGAATCTTACCAAAAATAGAGGACTCAAATTGTGATTTGGTCATCTCCCTTTCCAAAACCACTTCCAAATAAATTTTGAAATAATTATGACATAATCATAATAATTTGGAAGTTAGAAAAATAGTTTAAGCTTTTAGCAAACTTGGATGACTTACTTTGTAATTTACCCGTTCTCACTTTAATAACAACCCCCAAAACCACATGCTGCTCTCTTTTCACTTTCATTTTCAATTCTTTTTTTTTCTTTCTTCCTCAGATAATCTTTCTTTCCAGACTTAGACTTTAAGCCATTTTCCATGTCTCTTAGATATCTTCACTGAGCTCTGCAAGTGAAGCAAGGAAGCTTCGTCGACCGACAGTAAAAAATTGGTGACCACCACGTCAACTGCCATCTCCGGTCTCCGTTCAAGACCAACTTTACTCGTAAGTTGAATCGTTCTTCTAAACATGAATATGAGGTCTGATATCCCAAAATCATCTTCGTTTATCCTAGATTTGAAATTATTGAATTTGATGCACGTTGATATTTCGATTTCTTGAGTCAACTAGTACCGAGCCATGGCGTGACCAAGCAGAACCGAACTGGGGGAGGACTCGGTATTGACGAGTCAAGGATTACAAATGATTAGCAACTTGTTGGAGTCGAGTGAATCAGCCTAGAGGTAAACCAGACCGAGCGAAGACGTGATGGGGTGAGGAAATCGGAAGGAAGGAAAATCGAGACTGAATCTAAGCCATTGGTTCCGATCGGGATTGTATACATGGATGCAGGAATAGAGTAAGATGTGATGAGGTCAAGTTTTGGTTTTAACGCCAACCTTATCCAAATACTTAGCCTTCAGAATTGGAAATTTTTGAAGATAATTGATTTTGAATTGTAAGCCAAGCATCGGTGGAAATAAAGCTCACAATGACAAATAATAATTGAATACAATAATAGAATTCATATCAGACAAAAAAAAAAAAAGAATTCACATGAATTCTATGTGAATTCTAGAGTCTCTTAAACCCCATATTCAACTAAAAAAACTAACCCCACTAATTGGGGTGTGACAATTCTCCCCTCCTTAAAAGAATTTCATATTCGAAATTCATTCATGTCACATAATTACAGAAATGATACTTCTATCAGTTCTTTCATATCGTTCTGTAGCTTTTACAGAAATACCGATCCTCTACTAATCCTTAACCAATTGAGCATACATTCTTATCAAAACATTTCCTTATTTCAATAAAAGAATCCAAACGAAAATTTTCTTGAGGAATCAATTCAGTATTGGTCACGAGAATAGTCTCATAGAGCAGTAGAATATCCCAATTTCATTTCCGGAGTCGGGTCAGAATTTCTCAGATAAGTAACTCTCACAAGTCTCGTGAGGTACTTTACAGAACTGATATAGACGTTACTGATATTCCTTTATGTAAAGGTAGAGCCTTAACGGATAAAAACTTAGGTTTGCTCTTTACAGAGAGGGATTCAACCTTGGAGTTCCGGCTCAGAGAAGTACGACTGTAGTTTAGGGCATGTACTGATCAGACATCTTTTGACATTCGACCGGCCGATCTATCTTGAAAATTTTTGACTCAAACGATAGCTCTAATACCACTAAATGTAACCCCCTCAAACCGATGCGGATAGCCCGATCTGATATGGAGTGTCACATTAGGGCCACCGGAGAGACCCATCGTAAAAATAGCAGAAAATTTAAAACTTTTTATTAGAACATGTAAACTAATAAAAATTATTTGTTACTATTTAAAAATAAAACATATTTTCAGACTCGTATATAAAACAAAAATACAATCTACATGCCCCCTAATCACATGTACCATACTCTGCAAGCAACACCGAAAAACTCCCTTACTGATGTTGATAGTGATACTGGTACAATTCTTTTAACCTGCAATGATGAGTAATAGAGTGAGCTTCGAAAAGCTCAGTAATACATAACTACCAGATGATGCTACATGACATGCAGATAAATGGGAAACCATAATTTCCTTATTGAATCATACGTATACCAGTGGGCGGAATAATTTGGGGTTCCCTTAGAAGTTCATTGAGTAGAAGCCATGAATCTCAGTTCATAAGAAACCTTTCATACTATCACTTTTTCATGAGGTTGAATAGGATGCCTAGTGTGTTCCATCAGTACGATAAAACCATAGTATGTACACTAATCAAATGATAGTTCAATAAAATCCCATAAACCATACTGTAGTGGAGCTTTTTAAACTCGTATTTTAAAACCATCTTACAAAGAGTTAACCTAAGAGAGCATCTTAGGGCCTGAGAGCCTATCCAAGATAGATTTTGGGGCCGTGGGGGCTACTTAAGAACACATCTTAGGGCCGCAGGGCCTACCCGAGAATGATCTCAGGGCCGCAGAGCCTACCTAAGAGTCACATTAGGTCCATAAAAATTTTCCAGCTTGATCAGAGTTGTACTTTACAAATCTGTATATCCAAGATACAGTTTATACAATGATACAAATCCATAAGCCATCACCGTTAAGTCAGTGCATCCATAAAATAGTAACCATAGATTTCAGTGTACCACATGTTAAAACAATAAAACAATTTTTCAAAATATAAGGAACACACTAGAGAATCCAAATATTTTTCAGATGCATTTTGTAGTTATCAATATGGATAACATGGACTTGTGCAATTTGATCGGATTCCAGTAATAAGATCTTATTGAAGAGAATCGATTTCTAACCGATCTAATCAGACATTTCAGATTGATACTTTAGAATTCCACTAAGTTTCTATGTGTATCAGGAAAACGTTCAGGAACCTTTATACATAATAATTCTAAATTCAGATTTACTGCGAGTGATTCCATTACCCAAACAATCAGGGGTATTCAGGAATATACTTTGAATTCATAGGATTTCAGACCAATTGAACCAAATGAGGTATTCCAAATCTTTTCCTTCTGTGTTACTTTCGTTTTCAAACATCACCGAAGTGATTTTAGATGAAAATATAGAATCGAAGATTCAAGTCATTTACAATCTATGAGTATCGACCATATTATCAAACAACTTGAGTTACACAACTCTCAAACTGATGCATGTCAACAAGTCAATTGATTATCCTTCCAGTGTATTCACTCTTTAACACTATAATGCAGATCCATAGATCATCCCCATAATCATCGCTGAATAGATCTCCCAACTGTCTTTATTTCATT